TAAAACTAAAAAAAAGTTAAACAGCTTAATTTAAAAAATATGGCTGCAATTTTGAAAAATCCTTGGTATTGCAAATGAGATGCGTATGAAAATGAACTTCAGTGACGTCACGAACGCCAACCGCTTCGGCTAATAAATCGGGCGAACTAAGCAATCCTCTGTATATAAGATCCTTGGGTTTACCAGTGGTATCTGAATACACTAGACCGGTTGTACTGTGATTGGATGAATCTGCTTACCCTGGGCCGTATTCATTTGCCGTTCGTCAGACGTCCTACAGCTAAGTGCACAAAACCTTAACACCTTATGAGTAATAACCTATCGAAATATTATACTGTTGTCTTGGTACTATTTTTTTGTCGGGAACTTGGTACTAGGTTATTTTTGGTATCGCCAGCAGTGGCATGACTAGCTGCTGAAATTTTGGGTTATATTTTAGTGTCGTATAACGACTACATACTTGAAACCATAGGTTACGTTTTTTATACCGACGTAGCGTTTGTGTTCTTTACTTGTAACTTACTTACCACTTATACGCCCAGTCATTAGGATCTGAGGTATATTATACTAGCGCTTGATTTAAGTACTGATATTCAGGGTATTGTAACTATATCTGTGAACTGCGAGTGTATACACGTTCGGGCCCTATCATACATTATTGTTTTAAGAGTATACCTACATAAGTATTACTCGTATATATCTAGTAGTCTACCTATATAACAATATACTTACCTGACCGTAATCATACGATTACTATTAAACTTAATTGTTCTGGAATTTGTAAAGAATTGTCGTCGTAAATACATCAGTGTGGGAAATAAGTAAAGAATATAAGTTTTAACGGCTAATAGTTCCTTGTTTTTTTTGAAAACCTTATAAATCTTGCTAGGTGTTTCTTGGTTAAGCCTCAAAAGTGGTAGTAGCGTAAACCAAGTGGCGCTCTCACTTATATCTTTTTTTTTTTACCCAGCCTTCTTCACTGAAACTGGCCGGCCGCTGCTGCCACTGAACTTTTCTAATATAAAGTAAGCATTTTTAAATAAGTGTCCAGAGAGGGAACGTCACAAAATTTAAAAGTGCCTTAAAAACTTGCTTTCTATTTATACATCCATGGTATTCATTGACCTGACTATACCAGATATTTTTTAGGACAATGAGGGTCGTATAGAGGAAACGACAAAAATTTAAAATGCAATTTAGAAGTTTTTTTTATTTAATTAGTAGGAAGAAGAACATTTTTAAGGATTTTCCTACTTACTAAACCTATGTTGTTAACTATTATTAATTAGTACACTGTGTACTTCAATTTAAACATTAAAACAAAAAAAAAATTATTCAACTATATTTTCTTAAATTATGTACATATTAGACTTATGAATTCATTTAAAAATATAAATGAAGGTCTATCCCCCACTGACAGAAATTTCTATTAACCATAAGTAAAAATAAATTAGCCCCAAGAAGATATCTGCATTAAATAGGCTCCAAGTAGACTACCTTGCTACCAAAAGAAAAACCATTTTGCTAAGACAACCTACTTACCATTAAAAAAACTGTTTGCTAAATTTTTATTTATTACTGTAAATAGATGTCTTTGCTATGGTAGATGCGAATTTTAACTTTAATAGGTTTTTTGTTCGTGTGAATATGTGCTTTTCTATTGCAACGTTAATATCTTGCAACTAGAAAAAACTTTTTTATTGTTTGTTAGTTAATGACTTTGTAACCACTATACAGCACATCATAGCGAATTGGCAATTACAGCAAGTATACTTTTTTTGTCCTAGAAACTTCCTTTCAAATAATGTAAACTAGTTCCAGCAGTTACATTCTTGTCATCAGAAAACCAATTACTGGTTCCATCAAAGCGACATTATTGTCGTTAGTAACTTTGATTTTTATATGGACTGTAAACTTTGTATTTTCGTCAGGATAAAACGTGAAATTTTTTTACATAATCTCATTCCTTTTAAATCAATTAAAACTCGCTAAACTTTTGACGGCCTTGACGCACTTAAACACTGCAGAATAGCGAACAAACATTTACGAAAATGGCAAATACTGGGTCACATGAACTATTCGAATGCAGAATAACCAACTGCGCTTGCGCATCATATAGAATTAAATAAATAACTTGCTCAGTTACTTAATCAACGCTCAGTTAGCCTAGGAATATTCTCTACTAGTAGAAGCTATTCTTAGGTATCTGAGTTTTTGCCACTAATAAGTGCATTTTAGCTAAGGGCAAATACCTACCACAAGAAATTACTTAGCTGTCTTTAAAAAAAATATTTGCAAAAAAATATTTGCATTAAATCTTTTTTTAGTAAGTGCCATTATTAGGACAAGTAAACGGCAAATTAAGGTTGCAAAAATATTTTAGCAAAATGGTTTTTCTTATGATTAGTTGTCAATATTATATTTACGAAAAAAACTTATCACAATGCAGATCATCTTAGCAAAACGTTTACTTGGTCGATTTCCTCAATGGGGAGACGGATGGTCACTTTATTATTGATGCGAAAGGATTCTAACTTTCCGGTGTTGTTTATTTGTACATGCACTTCTAGTGGTAATTTCATTTTCGAGTTGCCATTTAATAGTCCTGTACATTTAAATTTTTATAATTTCATCTATAATGAATGTTCTGTGCCCCATACATTGTGTCAACCACATTGGATATTTATTTTCAATTTCAGTTGAAAATAACACACTCTTTCGTGTGATTAAATTGTTAGTGTCCAACCCTAAGGGCTTGAGGGTTTGCTGCACATTATCCCTATTGTGTTATACCCGCCATTTAAGGTAAGATTCTCATGTTATACTACTAGTAGGGCCTGGCCTGGCCTTGTTGGTTTAAAATGCGGGAAGTTCTTTTTCACTTGTAGAATTCACGTTTTATTCTTGTATTGTCAGTTTTTTACATTGTTTAGTTTGTTAGTTAGCTTTATTAGCGATATGTTTAGGCAATCTTATATGTTACTATTTTGTTGCGTACATTTTTACGTGGTTATCTGTTTGTTATCTAAGCCATTTACGTAAATATGTATTAATGTACCTTTTGTAACCATTTAAGGTTGTGAACTAAGAAATAAAGAATAGTCAAGACCATCACTGACATTTCTTTCGTGTCCGACCCCATTCACCCTGAGCAGTGGCGGCGCTTTAGCTGGCAAGCGTTCCGCTACAGTACCATTTTCAAAAAATCTTTTTTTTCAAAATAGTCCTGTCCTTCTTTTAAAGTATTGTAGGGAATAGGTTTATAAATTGACAAAGCAGACTTGTATGGACTGGAGTCGGTCACTGTTTTGCTATTTAAACAATCAAATATGTTATTAATTGATTTTAAAAACAATCCTGTATTTACTGCTGTTTCTGTTTGCAGTTGCCCTGTTGCAACTAATGTTAATATAGTAGCTGAAACCGTATGACTAAAGACCTGTGTAGCGTATTTGACCCTCATTTTTTGGAACTTATTTGGGTTTATGTGTTTATCTGAAATTTTCACACGCGACATCGCGCGTGTCGTACAGCTTAATTTGTCAATAGCGTATGCTTTAACAAAATCCAGTCATGAAACTTTCTTATCATCAATATATATTTCTAATTTACAGTTCATGAAATTGTTTCTTAGACATTTAATGAGATGACAAATATCAAAACATGTGTAAATTTCGCAGCCACTAATTTTAATAATTGGACATTCTTTTGTTGCTCCCAATTTTGATAAAGCATTTCTATTGCTTGCTCCTTGGTCGCAAACTGTCACGCGAACGTTTAAACCCATATGTTTTAATTCTACAACAACTTCCTCTAATAAATGGGCAACGCTATCGACTTTTATGGGGCCCGCAGAAAGAAAATAATAGAAGGGCATTTTCCAATTGTACAGAATAGGTACCTCTTACATAAAACACTAAAGCATGAGTGGCAAATTTGGAACGCCGACCGAGACTACCCAAATCTTCAAACCCTTCGATAACGTCATAATATTTGTTATGATTCAAACCCTTTTAAGGGCTATTTCGTCAAACATTAGAATGCATTGTTTTTCGTCTTCATTCATCGTTTTTATTTTCAATCTAAATTTGTCGGTGAGTTTGGTAGTAACCCCAGGTTTCAGATTATATATCTTTAGCCAAGATTGAATAGTGGTTACTCCTGGCAAAATAAACTGTAAGTCCCCTAACATGAATTTATAGTTGCTTGGTGATTTATAATATAATGACAGGGCTAACCGTTTCTCATCGTTTGTCCATATAGTTCGGTGTTTGTGAAAACATTGCATCTTCATCAATGTTTGCGTCGCGGGCGATTTATTTTGAAGTAGCTTAGTCAAAACCTTTCTTGTATTCAAAGTTAATATTTTTTGTTTAAGTCTGGCATTCTGTGCAGTTTTCTTTTTTTAGGTCCTTTCTTAGAGCATTTATTTTGCCTTTTAGTTTTTTTTTTTTCGAGGGCTGACGTCAACTACCTGCGAGCTTGGCATATTAGCCATTTCATTTAATAATTTCACAGGTGAATGTGTAAGTAATTGGGTAGACGGTGAACCTCTGTGTTTTAAACTATCAGTACCAGACAATTTAGGCGACGATGGCGTGTCAAATGACCTTTCTTTAGCAATTAGATCTAAAATAACTGACGAATCTGAATCACTTTCTTGTTGATTATCGACAAATTGATATTTTTTTGAAATATTTGAGATTGCCGGGATGTACTCTACTTTCAATAACTTGACCTGAAAATAAAACTGATTTTTTATTCTATTTTAGTATATCTAAAAACTTTTTGGTTAATTAAGTTTTATAAACATCGACATTTATCTTTGGTTTGTTTAACCATTGATATTACATACAGCATACAGTATTTTGTGTTTACCTGTTTTAGTTCCGTTCATAGATAATTTTCTTGATGTAGATGGTTTTACAGACGGTTCTGCCAAAAAAAATATTATTACAGAGACAGAGTCTAAAATTTATAAAGTGTAGAAGAATTAAAAATGACGCAGCCGCAGCTTGAACCCGGGACCCGGCTTTCTGGGCCAATGCTCTTCTAATTGAGCTATTGCGCGTCCACGCCTCAATTTTCCTATTCGGGATACCGTTCTTTACATAATTTACTACAAAAGAATTTTTTATCACATTTTGATCAACTTTTGTTTAGTTTGTTAATTGTTCATGGAAAACTGCATTTTGTAGAAAATTGATAGATCCTCTAAAAACAGTACCTGTACCTGTACCACATTTCGACCTAAAGTACCTACCATAGATAAATTAAGAACCTACCGCATATCAGTAATTTATATTATTAATTTTAAAAAATTACTTTATGCCTGAAATTACATGTGCATTTTGAACATCACATAACTCATTATATAAGTGAATAAAGACAACTCATATACCAATAACTTGATTGAGAAAATTATATCTAAATTTTCAGATTTAAAAAACTAATATTTGAAATTAGTTTATTAATAAATTTAATACCACGAAATTTGGTAGTTTATTATTTAATATATATTTATCGTCTATGTCGACCAGTTTCTCACTTCCACAATTCACCAACCACTGTTTACAACGAGCTTCGTCGTTCACTGGAAATTTAAAAAAGTAATGTTTGGCGTGGTTTTCCTTGTATTTTTACAGTTTACATATACACAAGAATGAGCCGCCACCGAAGAACTCATTTTGATAATTATAAAGTAACTAGTAACTACTGTCCAATATAATGGATATAAACACGATAACAAATAACGCAATACAGCACAGCTTCCAGATACAAATAAAACAAATAGAAATGCCAATGAGTAGCCAGTTTTACCGCCTTCTCGTCCCCTCAAAAAACAGTGAATAAAAAAGTCGCCGAGTCTTTGAATCTTGCCGCCGTCGTCGGTCGGTCCTTTAACACCTTGCCACCTGCATTTCGACTTTGTCGGTGTGGCAAGGTGCGTATAAAAATGGAAAATCGAGCGCAGGACGCCAACAAAAAGTTCGCTTACCTATACCCCGCGCCTCGAGATGCCCGCGTCGCGCGCTCGGCTTTTGCCATATCTATAAGTACGCATCTTTTTATATAAAAAAAACATTTTCGATTCATTCAACCGTCACCATAGTTGAGGTATAAATATGGTACGTTGTTAATTTAAAAATAGTTGTAATCGTCCTCAGAGGATGCCAACCCCCTCAGGACGTTTTTTCTGTTATTTTACTGGTTTCCGAGTTGATTTTTTTAGGAAAAGTATTATATTAGTTTAAAATTACCATAAAAAAAATGTTGATCAAATATATCATTCCTTTTTCATAAAAAAACAGTTTTTCTCAATTATCTCAGAATTCGGTTTTTGGCACTTAGACCCTTTGTAACTTATAGTCTTCCTAAACAACAAGAATATCATCTTTATGTGCCCAAACTCCTAATCCACACTCCACAGTCAGAGGAGAAATTCTCCTCTTTGCCATAGTTCTAATGAGACGCCGCTGTTAGCTGGAATACAAAAAAATATTCACGAGACTTTAAGCTGGAATTAGTTCATGTTCTTTAATCTAGATGTCTGGTCGTCAGCGCCATCTAGATTAGAGAACTTGCAATAGTCACGGAATGTGCCGTATAGTTGGGCGTCTTTTAAATATCTCAGTCAACGATTTGGGTTAACTCATTGTCATAGTATTTCTTTTTATTAGACAGAGCAGGCTAAACATTTTAGGTAAGCACCGACAGCAGCACGGGACAAAAAGTGAAGCCTTTTTTATATTATTTTTCTGTTTGGTGCGCCAGTCATATATTTCCCAATTCTAGATTTCATACTAGGTATATGTGCATATTTATAGGTGACAGTCACCAATTGTGTTGATGTTTAGAATACTTTATTTGTGTATAAACTAGGGTTGGCAAGATAAAAAACCCGTCTTAAAAAACTCGTGGGTTTTTGTAACAAAAACCCAGCTTTGATGGTGACACAAATACCCATAGCAAAAACCACCAATTGATATTTTATTTTGAAAATTTTTATAGACAGTGAAAATAAAGTATTTTATTAAAATATTTATGATTTAAAATTTTATTAAATAGTTATTAACAATAACAAAACACAAATTATACGAAAAGAAAACAAACAAAATTGTTATACATACATAAAAATTGTAGTTGCCTGCAAAGTTTTCTCATATATCACAAATAGATTGTATACAATATAAGATTTAAAAAATCAGCAAAATACAAGTCTATAAGTTAAACACACAGGATAAACACATTGAGTACCTATATAATAACCCGGGTTTTTGCCAAGCATGGTATAAACAGTATAAAACAATAGGGTCATACACCTTAGTCAAACCAAAAGATACTAATAGGTTTATATAACAGTTAAATACATCTCTAGTAGTATACTGTGTCAAAATTCAGAAATAAATTATTTTTCTCTTCTTAAAAGACCTAAATAACATATTCGATATCGAATTTCCCTCTCCTGTGACGTAAAAAGGGAATTCGTTCCTTATTGGTTGATTGACGCAACATAAACGTTTGTCGTTGCTAGATCTATAATCTATGGTCTGTCAAATGATGCACGTCACAATATAACCTAGAGCCGTAGTCCGTTGTGTTTATATTTAGACGTTTTGTGTTATATTTTTTATGTTTATGTGCTTATAATCAGGCGTATCAGGACTGCAAACATGGAAAAATCATTTACCTACCAATAAATCATTCATGTGGTATGAAAAAAACAGTAATAGTAAAATTTTGACACAAAGGATTACTTTATGTTCACTTCATATCTAAATATTTAGGTATTAATTGTAAATAAATATTTAATGGCACTTGTGTATTTTAATTTTTATTAAAAACAAAATATATAAAAATAAAAAGAAAAAAAAAATATTTTATTGTAAAATGATTTTTGTACAAAAACAAATTATCAAACCATCTTAAAGTATTTAAGATTTTACTTAGTCTTTTATTTCAAAATCATATTTTCTAGTCATAGTACCAACAGATACAACTGCAGCCAAGTTTAGGGTATCGGTAACCTGTGTTCTTACTTCTGGTGTTACTTGTATTTTGACACTGGCCGTAATCGATTCTATTTTGAAAAGACTTGAAGGGGATTGGTTGAAAAATTCACTTATAGCACTCGACTTGAAGGTGTCATGCAAGGGTCTTCTTGAAACAAAGAGCGTTTCACTGTTTTTACCTTTTTAACAGAATCACTATCACTTTTTAAGCGTTGTAAACCTTCAGCTTTACGTTTTCTTTCCGAGTCTGTTAACTGACTGCCTATACTGGTTGTTGCTATTTCTATGTGGTACATCACTTCTTAACATCAGCTTTTTACCCATTATCTTGTAAAACATCCAGTTAGTACTATCGTCCTCTAACTAAAAACAAAAATTATTTGTTAATACTGGAAATTATGTTATAGGTATATTATATTTATTTTATATTAAGTATGTACTTACATCAAAGTGATCTTCGCACACAGTATATCTTCCACCTGTAATGTAATAGGAGAAATATTAAGTAGGTAATCATAAATTAAATTAAATAAAAGGTTTACAACACTACGACTGAGTGACCCACTATTGAATTGTAATGTTTTGATGACTCGTTGATATTAAAGCAACGTATGTTATTAATATCCTAAATAGGTGTCCTCAATTATATTTCACTTGTTACAAATTATTTTAAATTAAATAGATTGATTTGAGTCCTTGCCAAGGGAACATCGACGTTTTATTTTCTACTTTATTCCCCTATCATGGTAGTTTACCACACACCATCGGGAATTCTTTTTAGATTTAATACACGAACCTAGTTATTTCGCACTTTCATCTTTAGGAAAGTTAAAAAAAAATTTGTTTGGATTATTATTAATTCAAGACTGAACAATACACTTCTTTCTAATTGCAGACATATTGGTACAAAATTCTTCCGGGCAGCAACAAAATAATAATGCTTATAAGGTAATAAATCTTTTGAACTTATAAAATACAAACACAAACATAACCAACTCGAACGCTGTCAAATACCAAGCTACTATAATGTTCTGTGCTACCACTTTTATGTTGCCAGATTTAAGTAGTCGTGGATGATATATTTCATTTAATATTTATACAGAATTATTACCATTTACAAAAAAAATAGTTTTAAAATGCAATAGAAAATATTCCAAAGGTATACTCTTCTATTAATTATTGCAATCAAAAGTGTTTTACACTTTTACAGTAATAAGAGTTAGTAAGCTTGACAACACTGCCTGGCCATAAAGTGGTGCAATGCCGACAAACGTTTTCTATCGCCGTCTCATTATAAATCTCATTATAAAGAAGGAAAACAATAATGTCCTTTTTGACGTCATCAATGAAAGGAAACTTAAAATATGTTATCAATTTTATTTTTTTCTTTCCTTAAACTCAACCTATTCGTCAAAACAAAAAAATACGGTATAGTTATTTTTTTCACTACTATCACCTGGTATGATTTTTAAAAAATTAAAACCTTAATTTAGTCCAGAAATTTTCTTATATGAATGCATGGAACTACACTATTTCATTAAATAGATTCATATTAAATAAATTTTATTCCAATAATTTAGAGTATGTAGCTAACCAATATAAAATGATAACATTTATAAAAGTGTGTATATCAATGATGTCCTAATTTTAATATTTTATTTGTGCAGGTATACGAGGATTTGCCACATCATCTACCTTTAAAGACTTGCAATAGAACATCAGCCAATCTCAGTGATGGATCCGTTTGGTCCCAGCCCAGCTACCGATTCATGATCTATGGATGTATCCACACAAATTCCACATTGATAGAATCAGTGTTCAGAAATATCAAATATCTAACGCATAGGTTCCAGTGACATTTCCAACATGCAGCGATAAAAATTTAATTTCAAATAATAAATAGCCATCATTTGCAAAAATTTAGGAAAAAATGTAAGGAGAGGTGTTAGGTACGTATAAAAAAAAATAAGCAACATATACAAATCAGGGGAAATTGGCAACTAATGTCGTTAGGACACCTTGTATTATAATAAAATCCATATTTGTTGTATTGTTAGTTTA